ACGCAAACTGGCCGTAGTGCTCATCGAACGGGAAATAACGCACGAAGTCCACCCTCCCAGCCTTGCTACGAGACACACGCCGCACGTAGCGCGAGTAGTTTACCAGGGACATGCAAGCCAATACGGCGCTGGGGCCGCGATGCACGTAGTCGTCCTTCTGATTGTAGGACACCACCTGCGACTGTTGGCGACCCTTGCCGACAGGGTCCCCGACGCCAGTGTCTTCGACTACATCCGCCACCTCCTGCAACGGGACCTCACAGCCTTCCGGGTTCTGCTCGGTCTCCAATGCAACAACACGCAAGTCAGGCCAGCTTTCGGAAAAGGCTTCCAGCGCCACCTGGCGAGCCTTCATCATCGCGTAGGGGACGAAACGGAAGAACATGTTGTACCCGCTGTAGCTCACGAGTTGTTCCTGCTGAAACAACAGTTGATACGCCATCTCGCCGTTGGACTTCGCAACGCAACGCTGCATGCCGAACGCCAAACGACGCAGGACACTCAACGCGCGAAGTTGCGTAGCTTGCGACCGCACACCAGGCTCAGCTGGGGCAGCCTCCGCAGCATTCTCCGACTCTTGACGCCGGCGTTCGGTTTCTTCCTGTTCCAAGCGTTGGATTCCGGCAAAAAGTTCTGGTAGCAATGACCGCGATATCTCGAACTTCTTCGCGGCATACTCTCCGGTATAGAATTGAACATCCTGGCAGCAACAAGGGCTTGATGCAACGCGACATGAGGGAGACGAGTTGGTAAGAACAGGAATCACAAAACGGCATTTCTGACCAAGGCCATGTTGTCCTGCATGTCTCGAAACATGTCAACAATCAGCCGCTGCAGGCATGCGTCCAGACACTTGTGCTCACCCTGGGCCATCAACATTTCCAGATCACCACTACAAAGACTTCGCCCAAGATACTTCACGTCCACGTTACATCTCATGCAAGCCTGTGCTGTTGGATTCGACATGCCCTCGAAAGGGTGATCTCTCTGCGGCTGGAAAACGTGCGGAGACTCGTTTTTCG